TGGGTGGAAGAGCCAAGGCCACACAGCTGGTTACTTGTTGGGACTGAGGCAATAAGACAGGTCTTCAAGCTCATAATTCTGGGAAGTGCCTCTTTATTTCTATTGTTTCCAAACTCTTGTGGGGAAACATGGGTGTATTGTTAGATTTTGGTAATTGATCAAATTGGTAGGCTTCTATAACTCAAATTAAGGGGATCCTTGAAAATTACAATCATCAAAACAATTTAAAATTAAGCGACAATCTCCATTTTTGTGACATGACAGTCCCCAAAAGTCCCAGGGATTTCCATTCCCTTTCTTTGACCATACAGAGCTTACATGTAGATGGCATGCTTCACTGGGGGTGTGTATTATTACATCTATTTTGTGTGTGACTGGAAGATGTGCCTTCTAGCTCTGCCACCAAGTGGCTGCAGGGCCCTAGGCAAGTCCCTTGCCCTGGTGCCTGTATTTACTTCCCTGGTCACATGTCAGAGGTTGACTTCAGGTGGCTTCTCGCGATACAATGTTATGCTTCTTTTTCTCCAAGTACAATAGATAGTAAGCTTCCTGAGGTGAGAGCAGCACATCTGTGTATCCTCTGGAGGTACCACATTGTAGGTATTTAATAAGTGTTCGATGATAGCATCGAAAGACTTAAGTGTTGGCACACTTAGCTTGAGTGGACTTATAGGAAATCATAATTGACCACCTGATTAGCAACTAACTGTCTCTAATCCACATATGTAATTTCCCTTTACATCAGAGAAACTTCTGCTTCTGTGAAATAAAGTATCAGCCCTTAACATCAGTTCTTTTGCATGTTTCCTGCATTAGCAACTGATATCTTATTTGCACTATAACTGGCAGAATAATGTAGAGAAAGCATATAAGTATGAAAAGAGGTTAGTTAGGTAACATTGTATAGGGCATCTTCAAAACAACAGTTCTGGTATTTCAAATGTCAAGCTAATTATCAGCAGTGTTTAAATGCTATGATAGACCATTTTTGCAAATGTTAAAATTTTCCAGCAGGTATAGACATGATACAAATGCCACTATTTGCTACTGTTCCGTTACTTGTCACCAGAATACAAAAATCTGAAGGGGGAAAAAAAAGTTATATCAATAGACAATAAAGAGAAATCATTATTTGTTTTACATATGATTGTAAAATCAATTCATATAGTGATACAATTATGAGTATTGTTTGCTTAGGAGGAAGAATAGAAAGGATTTAATATAAAGCAATCTGGTGAAGTGAAAATAATGCTTATTACATAGATAAACTATTAAGCCTTTTAAATATAGAATTTTAGTAATGCACATTCAGATATATCTTTCCAGGCCCATGTGCTATAAAGCAAATTTAAGTATCAGCTTTATACCCTTTGGTAACCCCATATTACGCATACCGTTTTAGAGAAAATGAAACTTTAATATGATTCCACATAAAATGGCGAGTAATGCCAATAATTCATATGCACTTCATATGCAAATAGTTTTATCTTATCCATCAATTATCATGTAAACATGTATCACATGGCAAATTTCTCTGTAATACAGGACAGTACCTGTATGTAATTATGGGTGCGTTTTGCCAATGCAACTGTTACACAGAATTGTAATTAATTCCTCTGAAGATTACTGGGAGAGTTTTGGATACTGATACTGTTTTTGGACATTTATTACTGCTCTTTAGTTTGCTTTTTGCTGTGCCTCAGAGACAGATGTAAAATTAGTGTCTATTTTGAGCCAGCGAACAGTACATCTTTCCTCTTGTTTATTGAATTGCAGAAAGGAATTCTTTGGGCTCCCACTTCTTTGTGGTTTAGAAGTAACTGTCTGTGTTTCTGCCAGCCATGTAGCTCCAATACATGTAAAAATGTTTACTGAGACACATGCAAGGGGTGGCTTGTTTGACCTATAACCTAAGCACTGGGTAGAACTTATGTACCGTAGGCAGTTCTATGCTTTCAAACGCTGAATAAAAAAATATGTATCGTAAGTTCAATAACAGACAATGGACGGATATATTCTGCCCCCCCTGACCCTCATTTAGAACCAGTGTACATTGGTTATTATACAGAATTGAATCTCTTCTTTTCAAAGGCAAAGCTGTGTTATTAAGATCTCTTGATGCCAGTGGTGATGATGGTGGGCAAAGGGTGAACATGTGAATAAGTAGGGAAAAGAGCTTATTTTGTGTTATAATGCAGTAAACACACCCTGTGCTAGCCATTCTATGGTAAGAATATTCTGTGGTGAGAATTTCCTCAGTACTCACTTCAGGCAAATCCACTGACTAGACTTGGGAGAAAAATGTAAAGGGAAATCCCGGGGATTTAGAAGTGTGTGTCGGGGTGTGTGTGTGTGTGTGTGTGTGTGAAATGGGGACCAGGACAAGCATTGTCTGTGGTCATGGATTTAATATGGGTGGCCAGAAGGTAAACCAGAAAGAACAGACTTCAGATTAAAAATTAACTTGCACCTGGATGAAAACAAAGGAGGGGGGAGCGGG